CGAAGTTAGTATGTTTCCAAGGATGATCCCTTTTTGTCACGTTGGATCAACTATTTTTGTCTGAGGGAGATCTCTCGATCGTTATTCACTCGAAAATTCAGGCTCACGCGAACTCATCCTCTTATTTTTACCACAAGTTTTATCAAGAAAATCATTTCGAGTGGTTAATTGTCCTTTCTCCTGAATCATTTTAGATAAAAACTAGATCACGAAGAGTCACGATCCAATAATTCCAAAATACCACAGTTTTTAGTGTCCCAGTTCTTTTTTCTCTCCCCTTTCTTTTCCTTTTTTCTTTCTTTTTTTTTCTTCCTTTGTCCTTGTAAAAAATCATATCCCACACGTCAAATCAATAAGTCAATCGACATCGAAGTTAATTAATCCATTAAATGTCCACTCTATTGCAAAAAAGGAACGGACAAACGAAAGAAAAAAAAAATGTTGAGTGTACTAATAATATCATAGAAAGGACAAACTTAATTATAATAATTTGTGAAACTTTTTCAACAAATTTTTTACGATAATCAGTTTAAGTTAATAGTTAACTATTAAATAGAAGTAAACGCGTTAACCCACAAATAGACACATATATATATATATATACATATACATCGCAGATACGTACAATTTTAATCAATCGACATTAGCAAACGAGGAAAACGTATTTCTCAAGGCGTTAATCGTAACGCATCATTATTACACGCACGAAAGCAAAGCTACGTATGTATGTTGTATTACTTGAGCAGAGAGAGGATGGTGTAACGCAGCGGGACTCGCGTCAAACGTCTGCGAGACATAAATACGTCAGGGCATGGTGTGCGTGCGCCAAGGCGCTGACAGTTCGTTTGAGTGCAATTAGCGTCTCTCCTTCTCACCCTACCCCTCCCTACGTCCCCCTCTTCATCTTCTTCACTCCCCACTTGTATTCTCCCCTATCCCTCCCATCCTTGTTCATAGTCGACGCCTCATAAGCTTGCTATCGCGTAACAGATCACCGAATGAAATTACCTGTTTCTCTTATTTTTCATTCTCCTACCGTAAAACCCATAGAAATAAAAATATATTACATGATATATACAAACATACATACATAGGTATGCATGTGTGTGTGTGTGTGTATGTGTATAATTGAAATATTACGAAATCAGAAAAATATCGATTTAAAACGATACAAGGTTACAATTCGTTTCTAATTTTAAATAAATTGTTTTAATTTAATTATTATCTAATATAATGAAACATTGCGATTGGTATTAGATTCAGCTTCGAATCAGATAATTGATCATATGTAAAAGGCTATGGTTGACATTAACAAACGTTTTCGTTTAATTCACAACCACAAAGAAGAAGAGTGAGCGAGCGACCGAATGAAAGAGAGAAAGAAGGGTAGGTGAGAGAGAGGTCAGTGGGGGTAGCAGGGAAAGAGGAAACGAGCACATAGCACGAATCGCCCATAACGAGGAGGCTCAACTTTATGAATATTATTTTCCAGCAGATGTCCCGGACGATAGGAGCCTCGTCGACGTCGCCGACGACGTCGTTCTGGTAATTAATGACGCTTACCCGAGAAAAGAGAGAGAGAGAGAGAGAGAGAAAGAGAAAGAGAAAGACAGAGAGAGTTTCATAGTTAGGGTTGCGATCGTTACGAGAAAGAGAAAGAGAGAAGATATACGAAACCTCGAGGAAATTAAGAAGAGGGAAAGAGAGAAGTAGTAACGAAAATAGAAGAAGAAGAAAAAGGGGGATAGAATTTTGGCAGGAGGGTTCGACGATAAGAAAATCCAGCTTGGTGAAAACCAATGGCAACTCAACGGTTGGATGTTTGAATGGAGAACGACAATGCGCTTTGAATTATGCTAGAATGACTTAGTAGTTTTAAAGCCAGGAAGCCGACATTAGCGCATTGATACCAGAACATTCTGAGGGACCATTAATATTACTTACTTTACGGGGCTAAATTCTCTCTCTCTCTCTCTGTCTCTCTCTCTCTCTCTCTCTAGCATAGAGAAAGAGACTGTATGTCGAGTAGAGAGAGAGAGAGAGAGAGAGAGAGAGAGAGAGAGAGAGAGGTTTGCCTCTGTCGGAGGGTCGTGCTCGCGTTTTAACCGGCCGCCTCTATCCGGGGCTCGTAGCTCCGCGTATTCGCGAGTTTACCGCAGAATCAGATTATTATCTCGCGCGTACCCTCTCCACGCATTTCTCCCGGGAGGCCCAGCAGCCACCCAGCTAGAGCCACCCATTGTCACCGTACCGCGCTGCCGGCCGGGCTTAACGAGCTAAATTGGGAAATCGATGATGATGTCGCGATTCTCCGTAGTCAGGTTTTTACTTCGCTTCGATTAACGTTCGATCCTCTTGGATGTTCCGGTGTCAAACATATACATAGTACGTGAATAATAGTAATATAAAGATATTATTATAGACCAATTTAGGAATAATATCTGTAATAATCTTTGAAATATATGTACATACATATATATGTATATATGTGTGTAGGTAATACCGAGTTTGTGAAAACAAAAATAAAAAAAGGAATACTATACGGATTCGTAGATTGAATTTAAAACGTGCGAAGGAGAAAGACAAACGAGTGATATAACTCTTTCCAAACGAAAAAGGAAACCTTCCTTCCGTCGAGTTAAACGTTTGTCACGTGCAAAGCGCTTGGATTAGACACGACACGTGGGGATAACCCAGTCGAAAGAGGAGAAGAAAGAGAAAGAGAAAAAGATAAAGATAAAGAGAAAGTGAGAGGGCGTGAGTCGGTCGAGCAAGCTGCTATAGCGCCAGACTCTCTTCTATCCGTTTGCTTGTAAAATCAAAAGGACAAACAATTAATAACGGCGTTGCCGGCGATTAATCAGAATTTAACTCTCAGTTAAATACTCAGGGGGGTTCGTTTCGTGCTTGTGGCCTCAGTCTCTCTCTCTCTCTCTCTCTCTCTCTCTCTCTCTCTCTTTCTTTATCTCACTCTCTCTTCGAAAAGAGAGAGAAAGAGATACAGGAGAGATATAGAGAGGGAGAGATAGAAAGAGAGAGAAAGCTCGAAAGGGGTGAGAGCACGCAGAATAAACAAAGGTTTACATCAGTGTCAGTCGCAACAAGTCCGAATTCGTCTAGGGTTCTCGGCATGAATATTCACGGCTGCTCTCTCGCTTGTCCGTCCCTTCGAGCCACCCTTCGGTCCTCCGTTTGCCTCAACCGGCCGTCGATTCACCCCCCATATACGCCAACGCTTCCTCCTCCGTGCCTGCCTGCCTGCCTGCCTCGTCGTCCATTTACCACCCCCTGCGATATCCATCGAACGGCTACCAGTCAAAGGCCCGAAATCACAATACGCGTTTGTCCGGTTGACGAAGTCAACGTTGGGCGGCTGCTAAAGCAAATAGAATGTGAGGGCGATCGCCACGGGCCTGATGAAAGAGAGAAAGAGAGAGAGAGAGAGAGAGAGAGAGAGAGAGAGAGAGAAAGAAAGAAAGAGATAAAGAGAAAGAGACGGGACCAATGGTCATTACCTTTGAATTGGAAATGACGTTTCCAACGTTATCCGTCGAGTGGCGATTTTCAAAGCTCGTTTTAACGATCCTTCGACTGACTCTCTTATTTGATCGAACCGCCCGCTCCCCTCCCTCTTCCACCCTTACCCGGTACGAAATTCCAAAGAAAAGAGAGAAAGATACAAAAAGATCCATTTAAACTTTCAAAGAATTGGATTGAACGTCTTCTTATGTCTAACCATCAATGATTACCTATCCGATATTACTACTACTACTACTATTACTACTACTATTACTTCTTAAGATAAAAGGGAAATCGGCTTAGTAGGGGGTTTTAGAGAGCCCTTTCGCCAAGAGAAAATTGCCGAACGGTCGATGCGAGGAGTGTTTCGAGGCCAACCGAATGATTTAATCCCCGAATGATGGACGTTCACGTCGCGACGATGATCTGCGTGCCGTGAAGTGACAAGTGGTTAGGATCACGGGGAAACATCGTGGCTCTGTGTGGTTGTGCGCGCTTTGGATGGGTGTGCGCACGTTACTGGTATCGGAGCAGGAGCAACTCGCGGTTCTCTATTGGTATTTGCTATATATCGGTGACTCTCGCTTGCTTTCCATCCAGACCAGAAGGAAAGAGGGGTATGTAGTTTGAGGGAGGTGTGTGGAGATAGCGAGAGAAACAGAGACGGACAGAGAGAATGAGAGAGAGAGAGAGAGAGAGAGTAGGATGAGAGAGGCGGAGAGCTCGAACCGTACAAATCATGTTGGCATTACCGCGTCAGGCCTCAGGACTCAACCTGTCGTGCGACCGGAAACTCGACGCTTCACGGTAATACTGATTTATCGGAAGTGCAACGGGTTGGTATGCAACGCTGATGCAACGCATACGCATCAGGGACACGCGATTCGGCGTTACGAGGATCTTCGGGAATAACGAGATTTTTTCTTTCTTTTTTTTTTCTCCCCTTCTTTTTTGTCTTTTCATTTTACTCTTTTTTTTTTCCCTCGTTTTTTTTTCTTTACCTTTCGTTTTGCTCTTTTTTTTTGTGTTTCCTTTCCTTTTCTCTCTTCCTTTATTTTCCTTTTCTTTTTTCTTCGATTCCTTTCCCTCGTTCTTTCCCTGTTCTTTCATTCTCTCTCTCTCTCTCTCTCTCTCTCTCTCTCTCTCTCTCTCTCTCTCTCTTGTCTTTTTCTTCTTTTTTTTTTAGTTTTTTTTCCCCCTTTAAATTTCAAAAACCATGTCGAAACACGTGGACGTAAATCGATAGCAACGAAAAGCGTATTTTAAATAAGTCGACTCGTTAAAAGGTACCGATTTGATAAGAATTCGCTCGTAATAATATCCCCGCAATTGTTGTTCCCTGACAATTCTTTTCATACTCTTTACTTTTTTCTTTTTTTTTCTATTTTTTTTTCCTTTCTTTTTTTTTTTTTTTTTTTTTTTTTATTACGAAGTTAACGAGATTAAATCGATAGACTTATTACTTGTGTGTCTTCTCCTACCTTTCAAGGTGTTTGACAATATCTTCGTAGGCAGCTCGGCAGTTTTCCCATACCGTCCCGGACCTGTGGAACACAAAAGGCAATACTTCAGGTAAAACAGGACAAAACATAAGAAATCTTTAGCGACAATATTATTATCCCTTTATAGGAATTATTAGGATTTCCTTGATCAGTCTTATTGATCAAGAGAAAAAGAAGATCTTAAAGAGGAAGAAAAAGAAAAGAGAAATGAGACGTAGGAAGAAGATAGAAAGGAGAAGGGATAAGATAGGATGCAGAATGTGAGAGGGAAGCGAGATGGGAGTAGGTTGGAACAGGGGGTAGGAATGTGATAGAGAAGATTTTTCCTCTTCATCTGCCTAAGTTAGATATCTCATTTCTTCTTTTTCTTCTTCTTCTTTTTCTTCTTCTTCTTCTTCTCCTTCTTCTTCTTATACTTCTTCCTTTTTTTCTTTCTTTCTTTTTTTCTTTTTTTTTTTTCTTTTCTTTTTTTTTTTTTTTTTTTTTTTTTTTTTTTTTTTGATTCACCGAGTTGACCGACTACGTCTGAGCTAACACGAATATGCCGCTGGTGCTTTGAAGTACGATGATTAAAAGAGACGTCAGAGTTACGAAGAAACGAACCTAATTCCGATCCCTAACGACTAACGTCTCCGTCTCCGTCTTCGTCTTCGAGTGGCACGGGAGATACAGCTAATGAGAAAAACATAGCTAAGAAGAGAACCTACTACTACCTTATTATCCGCGATGGATCGCGGTAACCGTAGGTAAAAGAGTAACACACTTTTAATGAAGAATTCAAAAGAAAGAATAAAAAAAAGAAGAAAGAAATTCCACGCTCAATTTCCGACCGATCTAAATATTTTCGAATTAAAATGGAAGAGAAACGACGTGTCAAAATATTCGTGATAATTTCTAATGACGAGCCAAATATAAAATTTCATTTGAGATATATCCTTTTATTATTTCCTCTCCATACCTCCACACTTCCCTCCTCTCTTTCTCTTTTCCTCTCTTGCATTCTTTATATTAAATATAATTAATCCTCCATTCCTTCAACCTACTTTAAAATTAAATTGATCTCTCTGTCTCTCTCTCTCTCTCTCTCTCTCTCTCTCTTTTGTTTTTTTTCTTTAAAAAATTTAACATCAACGATGTTTCAAAAGATATATCCTACGTATGTATGTACGTTCGGTATTTATTCGCTGGAAAATGGATAGCACTCTGAAAGGATAGGATGGGTAGGGTGGAGGGTTGAGGGTGAAGGCGAACGGACAGATGGGAGGACGTGCGTCGAAACTCTGCGTGGAAACTGGTAAAAGAGGATACTAAAGGAGAAGGTGACGAAATACAGAGGAGGATGAGGACGAAGAGAGTCCGAGGATAACGATAGGAGAACCTTCAACTTGTGACGATGTGTATAAAGTATATATATATATATACATATATATATGATAGTATGGGTTGCTTTACGATGGGGTTGCGTTGAATTAATCATATTCCGGTGTTTGTCGTGCCGCCCCCAGACGTAATCCGTCTTACCTCCCGATCTCTGTCTCTTTCTCTCTCTCTCTCTCTCTCTCTCTCTTTCTCTCTCTCTCTCTCTCTCTCATTCTGCGATAGATTTGCATTTTAATTAAAAGCAAAGCGCTGAAATCATAATGCGAAACTCACAACGTCGCCTTCGTTACATTAACCGAGGCCTATGTAAGTACCAGGACGATCGAAAAGAAATCTAAATGATCTTCCTCCTTTCAAATGTCTTATCATTTTTTATTTTTTTTATTTTCCTTTTCCCTTTCATTTCTTTTTCTTCCTTTTTCTTTTTCTTTTTTTCAAATTCACTCATTCAACAAACCTTCATTGACTTAATATTTTTTCGAACGGTCACTTAAATGTTAAATGTTATTAAATGTAATATCGTAATAGTTAAATGATGAGAAAATTTATTGTCTATAAATAATTTTATTTCTAATAAATCGAACGATTCGACGAGGGTTATATATGTTGGGGCAAACTCGAGGCTAATTACAGCAGGCGGATGTAATCGAAAATTAAGGCGAATCTCGAAAGCTTCGAGCTTGTCAGAAAGAGAGAGAGAGAGAGAGAGAGAGAGAGAGAGAGAGAGAGATTAAGAGAAAGAGAGAGGGTCGCATCTATTAGAAACGCGTTAACAAATGCCGGGATTAGTATCGCGTTTAGAACCCCTCGAGTACGCGCCCTTAGGATCGACGCGACGTCTCTACACAGGATTTCGTCTTTCTGCTTTCGCGCGTCTCGCGAGATCTTCCTCTTCCCTCGTTGAGATCGAATAAGCTGCGATATTCGTCTTCAAACCGCAACGCTTTCAAAGATTTATAACTCGAGACTGTATGTTACGTCATTCTTCAGTTCAAAGTTCAAACAAAATGTAGCTTGTTAATTAAATTAAATTAAATATATATTTAATAAATTAAATTAATTATATGTATATATATATATATATATTTATTTTCTTTTCTTTCGTTTCAAAGAGAAACATAATTTTTAAATAACAATACTTTCTATTTTCATTATATCGATTACATTTTTTCTAATAACCAAACGAAGAAACTATTTTCGAATATATTAATATCTTGTTTTATTTTCTTTTCTTTTATTCATCAAATGCATGTAAGATTTTTCTATAAAATTGTTTTCACATTGTCTTTCTTACGTGACAATTCATTGAATGCTAAAGAGAGAGAGAGAGAGAGAGAGACTGGGAGAAAGAGAGAGAGAGAAACGAGTTCACCGAAGTACACATCATTTTATTAAGACTGAATAGATATCTTCGAAGAACATTAAATAAGAATAAGAAGAATCCGAGGAAAGCGAGAGAAGACGTTCTCTTAAGAACTAAGAAAAGAGAAAGAGAGATCAAGCGGTGTCGAGACCCCTTGGATTTCCACGGCTTCGCCGTCTCTTCAAATCCTCTTAAAGTTGTATTCTTTTGGCCTCGCCAGCCCCTCTTGTAACATCGCGAACAGTCCCAACAACGCGAACGTGTCTTGGGGATCTATTGTTGAAGAAACTTAAAACAAATAAATCCAATTTCAGAATGAAACGTCTATTATCCATTATCCCTTTTCTAAAGGACAGTTTTTTTCTTTTTCTTAACTTTTACGATTGATACTTTTTCTCTCCCTCTCTCTCTCTCTCTCTCTTTTTCTTTTTATTTTCTTTTTTCTTCAAAGATATTTATCATAAAAATAAGTCGACAAAGCAGTGTTAAATGATTTAAAAAACTATTGAAAATGATCGTCAAGGAAATATTTAATCAGTAAGATTCAACAAAACGAATGATTAATAAAATATTAAAGTAATAGGAAAGAATATTTTTTTCTATATGAAAGGACGATGATCAACCATGACATTTTTTCTTTTTTCATTCCTTTCGCTCTCTCTCTCTCTCTCTCTCTCTCTCTCTATCTCGCTCTTTATCTCTCTCTCTCTCTCTCTCTCTCTCTCTCATGAGCTTTCTCTTTTTCACACACGCACGGGCAACGTTCTCAGGTGGCTCGTAAAATCCTAACCGATGTTAATGAAAATGTTTCCCGCTGGGACACAGTCGTCGCTTCCGAAATATCGCCCATAGTGTCACGATAACATCTTGCTCTCGTCCCGTACGATAACATTTTAATCCCTTTAAAACACCATGAACGTGTTCCAACGAAAGGTCCTTCTCAATGAAATATTATAACATCAATGGCATCTATACGAACACAAAACATGCAATGGCGAGATAAAAAGTAATTTTCGTACGCGATTACGAAGCCTTTGAATAATTTTGCAATGATAATACTCTTATAATAAAAACAACCATCGATGATATGATAACAGTAAGAAGAAAAAAAAAGAAAGAAGAGAGAGAGAGAGAGAGAAAAAAGAAAAGAAAAAATGATTATTAAAATAAAAACTGACCTCGCAAGCGCCTCGATGTTGGTCATATTTGGGTTAACCTTGAGACCTTGCTCGGCACGAGCCTGAGCCTGTGCTTGAAGATGATGCGGCAGACTTGCTGGTGAGAGTATGGCTGTGTGTCCTGCACCTGGGTGTCCTCCCAACTGCATGAATTGCATGTGACTGAGGTGTGTGGGTGGATGATTATAGCCGTTCGCTAAAAGCGGTGACTTTTCCATCCTTGGTACATCTGTGAACAAAGAAGTAGAAAAAAAAAGGAATACATGAAACAGCTGTCCTATACTGTAATCTTCTTTTCTTTTTTTCTTTCCCTTTGTCTTTTTTTCATTTTCTTTTTCTTTTGTTTTTCTTTTTTTAATCCAGTACGTAAAATATCCAGATACGATAAAATTGAAACAGAAGAAAAGAAAAAAAGAAATAGTGATCTATTTAAAAAAAAAACCTCCTATTTCCTTATAAATATGATTGATTGTTAATTAACTTTTTTCTTTTTTTTTTTTTTTTTTTTTATTAGATTAGACTAATACCACTACTTGTGTATTATGAATAGATATAAATACGTAGGAAGGTTAGTAACTTGGAGTTAAGGACGAGGGAAAACGGGAAAAGGGATGGGAAGGACACATAGGGACAACGTAGAAGGGTGCAAGGGTATCCGGATTTCAGTGAAATCAGGCGAGACGTGAAGCTCGTGGCAAGCCTCGGATAAAGAGCGCTTTCGTAGGCTTGATGGATCGCCGGCCGCTTAACCAAATATCAATCACAACGGCTAGCGCAACGGCAGCTCTCTGCATATAATCTACGCGTTGATTTGCGTTCGCCTCCTCGACGGTCTCATAGTTGTCGTCGTCGTCGTCGTCGTCATCGTTGTCATCGTCGTCATCGTCATCGTCATCGTCATCGTCATCGTCATCGTCATCGTTGTCGTCGTCGTCGTCGTCGTTGTAGTCGTAGTCGTGCGCCCGTGTTTGCGCATCGACTTAATGGCCCACTCGTGATGGATTTACGTAGCCCCGAGAGAAACAACAATTTTCGACTACTCGATATAATCATTTTCTAAGAATTTCCTCTTAAATATATCATAATCTTTGATCGTTATATATTATTTATAATTTTATGATATATAATTCATTGTTATAAAGAGATTTAAATTATTTAAATTTCGTTTCTTTGATCACGTATTATATACAATTCATAATAATAATAATAATAATAATAATAATAATAATAATAATAATAATAATATATATATATGTTTTTTTGTTTTAGATTTTATAATAATTTTATTATTGTTATTATTCTTTTTCCTTTTTTTTTTCATTGACACTTTGTTTATTTGCATACAGAAAAGTCAACTTTTCATAGAAGGGAGAAAAGTCATTGCTATTCCTGTGAGTATTATACGGATTTCGATTTTTCAAGGGACGAGAGATTCGATGAGGGAGAGGAAGGGGAGAGAGGTGGATAGGCGATAATACATGCACGGTCACGTTTTTTGATTGATGGCTCGAACCTTCGACGCCACGATTCAACCCCGTTTGTGCCGTTGTCCCAAGCCTCAACCGTAAAAGATCGCCTACGACGCATCGTCGTACTGCCATCGTCATTTGTTGCGGCGACGCGTGCCACCGATAAGTTTCTCGTTTATAAGCGCATAACTGCTATCAACGAAACATACTTTTCATTTTTTCCTTTTTCTTTTTCTTTTCTTTATTTTTTTTTCTTTTTTCTTTTTTATCTTTTTTTCCATTTTCTTTTCCCTCCTTTATATATTCACATCAATCTTCCAATCTATATATTGTCTTTCAATAATAAACATTAATTCGCGTTATCATACGTATAAATGCATTTTTGATGAATATGTTTAATGAATTTTGGTGAATATGATATAATGAAAATGATAATCTGAACAATCTGATATCTTTCTTTTTATTTTTACTTTTGTTCTGTTTTTTTTTTTTTTTTTTTTCTTTACTTATATCGTTTTCTTTTCTATTATTATTATTATTTTTTCGTTTTTCTTTTTTCTTTTTTGCATTCTCATCCGCTAATCATCAAAGAGATCTTTCTAAATCTTTTCTTGATTACCTCGTTTATAACTCGGTTCCTTGATCTACTATACGAACAAATAAAAGTATCCTTCCAAGAAAGGGTAAAGATGCCCGAAATGGCCGATGAAATATTGGACAGGTGAAACTCTTGTCATTTTAAGGTCACGGCCTCGGTCAGAAAGTCGTGCGAAAAGGAGGAAGATACTGAGAACGAATAAGAGTCTAAAGGAAGAAAGAAAGAGAAGGACAGAGGATAGAGATAAAGAGGGAGAGGGAGAGGGAGAGAGAGAAAGAGAGAGAGAGAGAGACGATGTGCAATACACAAGAAGAGAGAGATAGTTGGAGGTGCCTATTCATTACAAATTATCTAAATGGCAGTGATTTCGGCGGACCGGCTGGCCGTTTGACGAGTAAGTGGCGGTTTCGTTGTTCAGTGACTGCCATTAATCCAAAGCCGTCTCTTTAAAGTTACTCGAAGCAAGTCGCGATATCTTTGACAACCACTGTGGGATCCGGCCCATGACCGGCCCCAAAATTGGACTTATTACAACTTATAGAGCGTGATTTGGACGCTCCGCTCAATAACATACATTATCCCCAATCCATATGATTTAATGAAACTCCTCTAAACTCTCCACTTAACCGCGGTACTCTCCTCTCTCTCTCTCTCTCTCTCTCTCTCTTTATCTTTTATCCTTTCCTTTCTTCCTTTAACCATAAGATATATATATATATATATATATATATATACGTACATATTGTTATTCTAAACTATACCAATTCTTTGTTTTTTCCTTTTCTTTTTCTTTTCATATTACATTTTTCTAATTATTCCTTTTTCTGTTTTTTCTTTAATTTTTTTTTCTTGTTTCTCTTTGTCACGATCACTTTTACGACGAACAAATTTTTCATAGAATATAAAATAAAAGAGAATAATTATCGTCGATAAGGATCATTTTCCTTTTATTAACTTTACGTTCGTGGAATATGAATGAAATAGAACGATTGTACAATGGAAACGAACGATAATGTACAATTTAAGCTAAAGAGTGCCCTTCCTTTAACTTCGCTTTTTTCTCCCACTCCAAGACACCACAAGCAACTCCTTGCCCCTCCCTCAGCTGATGAGGTGACAACCCATAATTATACGGACCGCTTTCAGTCTGAGCTGACTGCAGTGGCATGCAGAGGAGAGGCCTCCATCATCGTCGCTTCTTCTTTCCATGCTTCTTTCTTTCTTTCTTTCTTTCTTTCTTTCTTTCTTTCTTTCTTTCTTTCTTTCTTTCTTCTCCTGATTCTCTCTCCCGCTCTCTATGTTTCATCTTCGTTGTCGTTCACATATTCTCCATCTTGTTTCTCAATATTCTTCCGTATTTTATAATACATTCATAACCATTGTTAATGATGATAGTGATGATAATGATAATGATGATGATAATAATATTCAAAATTTAAATAAAATTTATATTTAATTATTATTGAAAACGTATGTCGTTATCGTTAACTCAATTGACTTTTGACGTTTGAAAATAATCGTCAAGTATTTTAAAACGATTTACTCTCAAATATTATTAATATATCGTAACGTATGTTAGTATGTGTATCAATATTGATATCAAAGGATGTAATAAAGAGGAAGATGAGAATGAAGAGTATCAGAGAGAAAAGAGATGAGAGAAGAACAAAAGAATGAATACTTCGAATCATGCCTGTAGGAGAGGAACGACTTCGCAACTTCTTTTCTGGTGTTAATTACAAAACGCGAGAATAAATTGCCAGGCTAAATGAGAGCCGGCTATTTTCTTCTTCTTTTTCTTATTCTCCTCCTCCTCCTCCTCCTCCACCTCCACCTCTTTCTCCTCCTTTTACTCCTCCTCCTTCTTCCATAGCCTCGTCACGTCTCTCTCTCTCTCTCTCTCTCTCTCTCTCTCTCTCAATTTTTCTGTCTTTCTCTTTCTCTTTCCTCCTTCTTCCTTCATAAGACGAACGGATGAATGGAGGGCGAAGACACCAGTGAAATTTGTTATGCATCTCGAACACGGACTTTTGCTGCACGGCGAAGATAAGTGCCGGAATGAAGTGGCCTTTTTAAATTACATCCTTGACTCCGAAGGCTTCATTGTCGAAGCTTACGAATCGACTTCGACCTCGGAATTATTTCCTATCGATTTCATCATCTTGACAAGTAGCATATCCATGTACATATGTATGTAGGTCAAATGATATTCCGAAAGACGATTCAAAATGAAGATGATCGATCGATCATCATTATTTCTTTTTTTTCTTTCTTTTTAATCCATCGAACGTATCAATTAATTACGAGAAGTATTACGGGAAAAATGTATCAGATAATTATTACGTTAATAATGGAAAGAAACGAAAGAAAAGGAAGAAAATTGTTAATTAAATTCGTTTTTGTTAAATATTTCTCTAATTAATCCATACGAAATCAAATTATCTTGCCTGAGGATACAAGAAGATCTTTTAACTCGAAGTGAGCATGTTTTCTTTCATCCTAACGTTTCTTTTCTCTCTCTCTCTCTCTCTCTCTCTCTCTCTCTCTCTCTTTCCTTCTCTTTTTCCACCCACTCCGTATCTCTTCACAAAGAAAGATTACTCCTCTTCCGGTTGGTTGATCGCACGCTCAGCTGCGCGACGTGAAATTATTTGGAAAATCTGCCCTTTGTCCCTGGGCCTACGTACTTACTTCGACTACCTTTCTGTTTAACGTCGATACTTTCACACAGTAAATACTTTCGCCCATTGTTCTTAACAAACGACGAAGAAATTGTGTCTCTTATCCTTTACACATATTACAACAGCCAACGTGTTGTTTTATAATTTTAACACTTAAATAACTCTCTATTATATACCTCGGAAATTTGAAATGAATCTTAATAAATTTAAACTTCAAAACTTATTTTATTATCAAATTATTTCATTAACAAAAATTATTTTCCATTGAAGAAGAGAAAAAAACAACAACAAGCAAAAAAGAAAACAAAACGAACGAACGAAAGAGACAATTTCCCCATCCTTGGAAATTTCGTAAGATTGAGACTCTTCCTTTCGATAGAAAAAGAAAAGAAAAAGAAAAAAAGGAAAAGAAGAAAAAGGAGAAGAAGAAGAAGAAGAAGAGAAAACGAACAAAGTTAAAGCCGATATAAAAGTGCGTGAC